ACACGAAACTTTATAACCATATCTGGTATCCAGTTAGATCGACGCGTGTCGTCGCCACGCACAAGTATCAAGAATACAAAATATAAGAAAGTCCAACAAGCCGTGCGCGTGTAATCTAAAAATACACGAATTTCTCGTTATTACGATAAAGAAATGATAGCACCAATTAAGTGAAAATTCCACGTGGATACTTTCATAGGTAACCATTAAGAAGATAACTCGATACCAATTTCATACGAAATTCGTGAAAACTTTCGACGTCTCGAACTGATTCGATTCAGTAAATATTCTACATATCGAGATACGTATTCTCGAAGGAAGCATGGATTTATCCATGAGGCCGTGGTACCAACCAATCGGTTGAGTGGTCCCAGTGAAATTTTCTTAAAAGGCGTTTGACATCCAACAGGTACTTTGATACCTGTATTACAAGGTACACCCTGTATATACGTACACTGATATAACTAGACCGAAAGTGATTTATATTTAATATATATCCGATACGACCAGATCGTTAATGACGATACCGATACTCCGGTATCTCCATCTGAGATCATCATTACAATCAGAGACACAAGAAGGATCTAGGCCACTCGTGGACTCATTCAAGGTGAATGGCTGGCTGGTTCTGCCAGTGGGATAAGGGGGGCAGGCTGGAAGCACGTAATTGTCTGGAGCAAAATTAAACTGAAGTCACGTTAATTATGTAACTATCCACTCTCTGGTTCCGCGCATGGCTTATTCCGTAACCGGTAGGGTGATGATGGACGAGCTCAGCCGACCTTACGGCTGCCAACCTCGAGCAGCGAAATCCCTAACTCAGCGTTAACTTGATCAGTCAACCCCCCAGCCCCCCTCACTGTACACCGTTGCCCGGCACTAATCTGCCTCTGGATTAATTACTAGGTAATACCGCGTTGAATAATTATTGCCGTGAAAGCCGCCCATATTAGCAGCCGCACGATCCTGCGGAGCAATGGTATAATATAAGTACCGGAAGTGCTTGATACCAGTCCGGAAGATGTATAATCGATCGTTATAATTTTTTCAATACACGCAGATCAACGATCCATTATGGTTTCCTAGAATTCTAAAATATTGATATATTTTTTTTCCCTCATTTATTGACTCACTCGTTCATTTATTCACTCGTTCTCAGCATTTTACTCATTTTCTTCAGCCTACGAACAACATCGGTAATAATCAATAGCTGCTCGATTCGTTCTTGTCCTACTTTTTATACGTGTTTGCATCTTCCGCGAAGTGCATTTTCGTTTGAGCTTCGAAGGGAATAGCGTGCGACGTAAAAGTTCTAACGTTAACCAGCATCTATATACTGTACACACAATGTCAATCTTTGCCAGTGGGTCTCGAGAAATAAAATGCATTGCGCTAATAACACGTCGTATGTAAAGCAACGAGTATAATTTATATGAATACCGAGAAACGCTTTCACAGTCCAGTCTTTTCATACATATTTACGGTTGAACAGGAGGCGCATACGTATAACGTGTATACAGACAGTATATACAGAGATAGGATTTTGCCTGAATTGGCACAAAAAGTCTAAATCGTTACTGCGATATTTTCAGCTTGGCAAATCATACAAAAACCTTCGTTATTGCGACTCTTTCGAATACGAATCTGCAAACTGTAACGCCCCTCTGATACGTGTATAAAATGACTTGAAAATTAATTTTTTTTTTATTATTGCCAGCACTTGCCAAGGATACTCAGTAGCGCATATACGTCTTAAGAATTTTTTGTGTATACATAATATCAGAATATAGTAAATACTAGAATAGCACGTACGTATTGTGACGTGATTTTTCGAATCACGGTCCCAAGGCGGCTCCGGTTACCGATACAGATAACGTTCTCGATTTCTGGTTCCCTTCGGGTCGCCACCCTGCTCAGAAGCTGCGCTCTCGGGTTGATTCGTACAGTTATGTCAAGGCTCTCGTAAGATTTCGTTATTGTTTAGTTGAGGTCGAGGTGCTCGAATCTGCAGTGGGGAGATAGTCTCGACGTACCGAGTTGCCCGGCAGAGGAGACGACCCGACGGAGACGTCTCCACGGACCGGCAGAAGCCCGGGTGAGATACCGGCGTCCCGCTGGAGGTGGGCAAAGGGCTGTAGAGCGGGCGGAGGTAGCTTTGATACTGTTAAGGGCAGGAGAGGAACCTCCTGCCCGAGTCAAGGATGTGGTGCCCAGCTGTCGCCCGATGCCCTGGGGAAGCGGCCGTGGAGGATCTCCA